CCCACCGTCCCCCCTCCCCCCACGCCACGTCGCCCAGTGGCATCTTGGCAAGAGGATTCTCCCATGCAAACCCCGGAGCCAGAGGGGAAGGAGGTACGCAGGTCTGCGTCCCCTTCCCCCGGGGCACGAACACGGCAACAGCACGGGGGCGGGGGCAGGGCCCGGGGACACGAGACAAGGGGGGCGCAGGAGATGGGGGACACCCCCCTCCCCGCACTCAGCTGACCCAGGGGAACAGCCACGGGGTGGGGCCAAATGGTACGGGGGCGAGGCTTGTAGCAGCGAGTCACCCTCCCCTCCTTTCGGAGGCAGAAGGAAGACTTGGGCCCCGCGACTGAGGAGGACAAAGGGGAGGGGGCAGCCTCTCCTCGCATGCGGCCCCGGAGGGAAGCCCCGCCCCCTTCCCACAGGGAAAGGGCACCCGTCTCCCGTCGGAAACTGATCAATAAATTACAAAGTAGAGAAAAGGGAGGCGGAAGGGTGCGGCTGGATTTCTTCCTGCCCTTTTCCTCTCCCGGCGCCCCCCGCCCCCCGCCGGTCCGGTTCATGTGGTTTGGTCCAGGCCATTCGTGAGGCGGGGAAGCACATCCCCCGCTTGTCTGTACAGATGGTCCAGTCCGAGGCGTGTGCTTCCCCCGCCGGCTCTCAGCAATCCGAGGTGCGTGCAGCCAAACCCGGCCGGCCTGAGCTGGCACAGCCCAGACTCTGGAAGGCTCTTCCATCCAAGTGAGGTCACCTGCATTCATGTCGAGCGGCAAGGATTCCAATGTGCCGCCTTGCACCCACGCGGTAGCCCGGTACAATCCTCACCTGGAGGCTTACACTAGCAGGAGTATGTCCGGACCGAGACGCCGTCTGCCCGGGAGCTCCCAGAAGTCTGACCTGGAGGGAGAACCAGCCTGGGTTACCTTTCCCATCAAGACCTCTCCAAGTTCTTGTCTCTACCCCAGGGGTCATCGTTTGCACCCCTCTAACAATGGGATGGGCCGTCCATACCCTCCCTTCCTGCCACCTCCCCCACTGAAGCCATGAATCCACCCTAGGCACATGGGTGGCACTGGGTGAGCTCATTTCCCGCCCAGAGTGGAGCAAAGCTCTCAACAAACCAGACTCACTGCCATGGAGCCAATTCTGACCCAGTGACCCTATAAGACAGGGTAGAACTGTTCCTATGGGTGTCCGAGACTAACTCTTTACAGGGGTAGAAAGCCTCATCTTTCCAGGTCATTCAAAACCTAAAGAGGGAACCTTCTGGAATGGTGGCTGGGTCCACAGGTGAACTGAAGGCAGGGAAGATATAGAGGGGCTATCTCATTTGGGAAAAAAAACCCCTGTCCCCCACCCTCACCCCCGCCACCCCACACACACACCTTCTGGCTGCAACTTGCGGAGAGGGAGCCCCGGTGAGCCCAGGGCCCCTGCTGCGGCTGAACGGAAGTTAGGGGGCAACATCTCAGCTGAGTCGGGGGTTACGCCTCGGAGGTCCTTCTCTCGGAACATCTTCCGCCAAGAAGGGGAGCGGCTGAAGGACTTGGCGCTGTCCTAGGTAGGAGAGCCCAGGCAGGCAGTTGAGGGGACCAGAGCCCATTCCAGCTTCTCCGCCCGCCGCCACCGCATGCCCCGTGGCTCCACCCCTCCCTGCAGCTCACCTCCTTTAACCCGCCCCTCCAGCCCCGCCCCCAAATATGACTCAGCCAATCAAGCCCCAGGTCAGCCCGGCCCAAAGTCTCACCCACCTCGTCCAGCCGCCTGTCTGTGCCCAAGGAGATGAGGTTACTGAATTCTTTCTCCAGAAGCTGCCGGGCCTAGTGAGGGGAGATGAGCAGGCTTGCAGCTGTTAGCCAGAAGGGCAGCCAAGCATGCTCGAGCAAGGGGGTCGAGCAAGCTGGGGGCCGAGCGGCAGCTCACCTGCGCGTTCTGCGTGGGGATTTGCAGGAGCAAGGCCAGATCCGAGTAGTCGAAGGTCTCATCCAGGGCGAGCAGCGCCCCGTGCACCCCGCTCTCCGTGAGGTTGGTGGCGAATTCCTTCAGACCCAGCCCGGACACCCAACCCATGACCCGCTCGTTGGACCACACCATCACGTCTGGGAAAGGAAGGGACCCTCGGCTGAGGTCCTCCTGTGGCCAGGCAGCCCTCTCGGTTTTCCTCTTCACGCCCGTTTTGCTGGCCCCATCCTTCATTTCTAAAAGGGCCCTTCCCTGGCCTCCCACCCCAGGTACTTGGGAGCTTCCACAAGCTCGTGGGAAAAATGAAATTTAAAGGCCAACGGAGTTTTCCCACGAACTTTTTGATGCCCTCCCTCCAGGTTCCCAGCGGGGCTCTTCTGCGCTTGCGCTCACCTCGGATCTGGGTCTGACTTTCTTCCCGCCTCCGCTCCAAGTCCTTCCGGTCATAGTTGAGCCGTTTCAGGCACATAATCCCATAATGTAGACTCACCCTGAGCGGCAGGGGGAGTAGAGTCACAGAGGCGCCTTCACAATCCCATTGGCTGCCTCTCCTACCAGGTCCTAATACATAGGCTGTGGTCTTCCGGGGGGAGGTTGAGGGAGGTCCTCCATTGGGTCAATTCTATTGGCTGTTCGCCCTCCCACAAGGGGGGAGTGGATTTGCCACGGGAAGTTCCTATTGGCTAACCTGGAGGGGTGCGGGGGGTCAATTAGCCAAGCTCTCAGGAAGTTAATTTTTCCTAATGGGCCATCCGTCTTAGAGTTAGGGACCCAAGGTACAGGGTTTTCTGAGAACCCAGGCTAACAAGGCCAAAGATAAGCCATGGAATGTCCCATTGACCAAAAGACTCTAGGGGGTGGGGCTTCCCCTGGGCTATTCCCACTGGCCAGGCAGCCCCCACCTGTGGAAGCTGTCCACCATCTTGAGTTGGCCCCGGAGTTCCTTCTTGTTAAGGTGATCTAGCATCCGGGCATCCACCAGCGACTCCATGAAGTAGCTGCGGTACTGGGGCAGCCCCAGGCTGGGCAGCCAGTCGTTCCCCACCCACTCGTGGTTCATGTCGCCATATGCCAGGATCTGGGGCCATGGGCAGGTGGGGAAGGGGTCAGGCCCTCGGCTTCACGCCCCCTCACCATGTATGCATGAAAGGGGCTCAGTCCACCCATCTTCCACCCAAAGACCTTTCCCTACCCCAGAGGAGGACAGGGACCAGTCTCTGCTTAGGACAATGGATCAATCCAAAATTGTCGCCTAAAACTTCATCAGCTCAGGCACTTTGGCCCCTGAAAGGGGTGGCCTTGGGAGTCACAGTTTCAGCATCACCCGTGAACTTGTTGGAACGTCAGGACCTTGAAGTTCATCCCAGACCTACAGCCTCCAATTCTGCATTTCTGCTAGATCGCCAAGGGATCCGAACTGTACATTCGAATTGGAGAAACGCCGGTGGAGCACTGCCCCAACCTCCCCAACACAAGATGACCCGGTCCAACATCACTACTCCACCGAACCAAGAAAGATGTCTTCTTCCACCATTAGCTCCACCAGCCAGGAAAGACTAAGTGACCCGGCCACCACTTGGCAAGTTCTCGAAAAGCCTAGCTAGTTCCAGGCCACAGCCCGCCCAAGACAATATTCTGGAACCCAAAGTCCAGCTCTCCCTTTAGGCTAAAGGAGATAGTCCACTCCTGCCTCTGGCTCAGCTCCAAGCCCTGGTTGCTCCGCCTACATCAGAACCAACTGTGGCTCCATCCTCCCCAGCTTCTCCACCTGAAGTGCCCTAACCTTCCTGCTTGTTGGACCTGTCCCCTCCCCTAGTTCCCATCAGCATTGCTCAGCGTCTCCCTCTAGTGGCTATAGTGGAACAGCACCCTTGCAATAAAAAATGGCCTGTGCACACCACACTGACAATGAAGCGAGCGAGCGCGCGCGCGCGCGCACACACACACACACACACGCACACACAACTACAATGTCCAGAGCTGCAGCGCCCCCCAGCCGTAATGATGGAACATTTCATTAAGGGTAAAGGCGGGGCTCAGAGGAGGAGTGGGCGTCCATGCAGCGTGCACAACCTGTTCATGCGTCCACATCCCGCCCCACGCCCCCTACCTGCTCCCAGCTGATCTCCTTGGTCTCCTGACCCGTTAGTGGGAAGAGGGGAGAGAAGGGATGGGTTACAGGGCAGGCAGAGGAGGGTGGGGGGAAGGGAGGGAGGGAGGAAGGCAGACAGACAGCTACAGACTCAGTCTCCACCCCCCACCCCTGCAGAGGGTTAGTACCACCCCACCCCACCTCCAAGGCCGTCGGCAGGGGGCACTCACAGGCTTGGTGGTGGCTGTGAGCGACTCCATCTCCTCATGCGTCATCCACACGTTTCCTGTGGACTGAAGGCCAGGGGGTGTTATGGACATGGTGGGGGAGGGAGATCCGGAGCAGGAAAGGGCAGAGAGGTGGCGTCCCTTGGAGACCCCAGGCCATAAGCATTCATCCCATCAGCTCTCAAACTCCGAAAGGTCATCGCTGCTCACCAGTGACCCGCAAGTGTGTGCTAGGCACACACGAAGCCTGGGCTTTGGGGCTGGACAAATTCAAGTCGGAATTTGGAGAAATGTGAATACTGCGTCGCCGATGAGGTTTAACAACGTTCACACTCTTAGAGGCGGCGACGGCGTGGAAGCTATGTAGGAGAATGTTGTTTTTAGAGGAGGTCAGCTGTGGTTCTTTGGGGGCTACAACTTGGGCTGCTAACTGAAAAGTCAACAGTTCGAAACCACCAATCACTCTGTGGGAGAAAGATGAGGCTCTCTACTCCCCTGTTTAAGTTCGGAAACCCACAGGGGAAGTCCTACCCTGTCCTATACGGCAACGACTCGATGGCAGCGAAAGAGAACCAGTCATTGTACCTTGGAAAGCGCCAGAGCCACACCAAAGGACCAAGAAAGTGGCCAGCAGTCTATTTTACCTTATAGCGACTCTGTGTGGTGAAAACTAGAACTGCACCTCTGGGTCTTCAAACGCTGCAAAGTTTTAACCTAATTCAAGGTGATGGGGTCGGGTAAGCCCGGGAGTGCTAATTGCAAGATCAGCCACTCCACGGGACAAAGATGAGGCTGCCAACGCTCGTAAAAATTTGCTAAGCCACAGAAACCCTATGTGACCTTGCTCTGGGTGGGAATCAACACCGAGGCAATGGCGTGGTGCTGTCAGGTAAGCGTTGGACTACTGCTAACCACAAGTTTACAGGTTCCAACCCACCCGCTGCTCCAGAGGGAAAGACGAAGTTATCGGGGCCCATAAATATCCAACCTCAGAAACTCATAGGGTTGGAATCGGTTCGGTGGTGCAGTTAACTTGCTGGACAGCTAACAGTAAGGTTGGAAGTTCAACCCCCTGCAGAGGCACTTCTCGTCTCAGTCATTGGGGACAAAATTAAAATAAAAGCCTTCGACTCTGTCCTACAGTTCTACTCTGACATCCGCGGGGTCGCCTTGGAGTTGGAATGGAAAAATTCTGGTTGTATGCCTCATTTTCTGCTGGTTCGACCTTCCTCTTAGTTACCCCTAATTTCCAGCAGGCAGGTTCAAAGGTTCTCTTATCCAAGCATTGGAGCAAATGGGTAATAACAGCCCAAACAAACAAACTCATCACAACCCTGTGGGGAGAAATTAGGTGTTGAAGTTACCGGAGGAAGCGAGGGGGAAGGAGAGGGTATGTTGAGCTGATGAGTTAGCGAAGGCCTCTGGGAAGGGGTGACGTCTGAGCTGAGACCTCGAGGCTCAAAAGCCAGTCACTGGGACCAGGGAAGGAATGTCCCAAGCAGACCGAATGGCCAGTGCGGAGGCCCAGAGGCCCGGAGGCGAAGGCGCAAAAGGTGGGGCAATGGGAAGCGGGGCAAAGTGGTTTTTGCAAGAAGCGGCTGGCCTAGGAGCCACAGGTGACCGGAAGTGAGGGTAGAGCACAAGCAGGAAAAGCGGAGAAGAGCTGACCCCCCACCACCCCCAAAATCGAGGTGCAGAGCAGCCTGGGACAAGGCTGGAGTGCGCAGGCCCCGTGGTGTGCGAGGCGGGGCTCGACGATTGGCTGCGCTGGGCTGGCGCTCACCGTGCGGGAGGAGGCGGGGGCCGAGGGTGAAGTCAGGGACACCATCTCCTGGATGGCCAGGCGCAGCTTGAGCCGGTGCAGGGGGTTACTGATGCCGATCTCCCGCTGGATCTCCGTGTCCGACAGGTTGGCCATGATGGCTCCACTCTTGACGTTGGCGCGGCAGGCGGCCACGTACCACGCGGGCATGCCGACCCACAGCTGGACCGCAGGGAGGGGCGAGAGTGAGACCAATTTGCGATGCCCCCCCGCCCCCCCTCCGCGATGAAAGGTGGGCGGGGGGTGGGGCAGAGAGATTGGAGAAGAGCGAGCAGTGAGAAAAAGCAGACGGTGTGCAAAACACAGAGACCTTGGAAGAGTCAGAGGGAGGACCAAGGAGGACACCAGAGGGGGGCCAGGGGAGACAGACAGGAGCAGGGCAGAGACTCAGAGATGGAGGAGAAAGGGAGCAAAACGGCATTGGAGAGGGAGAGACAGAGACAGACAGACAGACAGACAGACAAGCAATCCAAGAGAGAGACACACTCGGACAGAGAAAGACCACGGACCCAGAACAAAAAGTCAAATCGATGTGAAGGAAGGGGAGGGCGGAGTGGAGACCAAAGCCCATCTGTAGGCAACAGGACATCCCCTTACAGAAGGGTCACAAGGATGAGATGAGCCAGTCAGGGTGCAGTATAG